TCTTGTGAGCATAATGACATTTATTGTAGAAAACATACAAGACTGTTCAAACATGTAGTGTGTTTTATACAATATCTTGTGAGCATAATGACATTTATTGTAGAAAACATACAAGACTGTTCAAACATGTAGTGTGTTTTATACAATATCTTGTGAGCATAATGACATTTATTGTAGAAAACATAGAAGACTGTTCAAACATGTAGTGTGTTTTATACAATATCTTGTGAGCATAATGACATTTATTGTAGAAAACATACTAGACTGTTCAAACATGTAGTGTGTTTTATACAATATCTTGTGCTTACAAATCATTATTCACAAAAACAAACATGTATATTAATAAACAGCGATTTGTGAGCATAATGACATTTATTGTAGAAAACATACAAGACTGTTCAAACATGTAGTGTGTTTTATACAATATCTTGTGCTTACAAATCATTATTCACAAAAATAAACATGTATATTAATAAACAATGATTTGTGAGCATAATGACATTTATTGTAGAAAACATAGAAGACTGTTCAAACATGTAGTGTGTTTTATACAATATCTTGTGAGCATAATGACATTTATTGTAGAAAACATACAAGACTGTTCAAACATGTAGTGTGTTTTATACAATATCTTGTGCTTACAAATCATTATTCATTTACTAAAAAACTGAGCTTTTTGAGATTGTGCAATTGTTCATATTATCATGTTCAAGGGTTTTCAAGATTTGCTAAGTTCTTCATTTTGTAACTTCCAGACTGTTAAAACTGTTATTTGATATCTTTCTTCTGTCAGAATTTGTAACTTCCAGACTGTTAAAACTGTTATTCATATTAATATCTTTTTTCTGTCAGAATTTGTAACTTCCAGACTGTTAAAACTGTTATTTAATATCTTGCTTCTGTCAGAATTTGTAACTTCCAGACTGTTAAAACTGTTATTCATATTAATATCTTTCTTCTGTCAGAATTTGTAACTTCCAGACTGTTAAAACTGTTATTCATATTAATATCTTTCTTCTGTCAGAATTTGTAACTTCCAGACTGTTAAAACTGTTATTTAATATCTTGCTTCTGTCAGAATTTGCAACTTCCAACTGTTAAAACTGTTATTCATATTAATATCTTTCTTCTGTCGGATCCATATTTTTACAAGAACAATTTCTGAATTTCTACACATTTTAGAACATAAGGATTATAAAAATAATAATATAACTTAAATCTAAAATTTATTAAAAAGCTGGTTCTAGTACCACCATAAAAAATAAGTCCCGAGACTAGTACCACCTTAAAAAATAAGTCCTGGTACTAGTACCACCATGAAAAATATGTCCTGGTTCTAGCAACACCATAAAAAATAAGTCCTGGTACTAGTACCACCTTAAAAAATAAGTCCTGGTACTAGTACCACCTTAAAAAATAAGTCCTGGTACTAGTACCACCATTAAAAAATAAGTTCCGATACTAGTACCACCTTAAAAAATAAGTCCTGATACTAGTACCATCTTAAAAAATAAGTCCTGGTAATAGTACCACCTTAAAAAATAAGTCCTGGTACTAGCACCACCATAGAAAATAAGTCCTGGTACTAGTACCACCTTAAAAAATAAGTCTCGGTGTAATAGACTTAAAATAAGACCCAAAACTCAAGAACTTTCAAATAGTTGACTATTCTTCTTCAAGAGAACAATAAAGAATAGTCAACTATTCGAAAGCGATCGAGTTTTAGGTCTTATTTTAAGTCTATTGTAGAAACAAGAAAATATTTAAACAATGTGAGGCATGTACCTACAAATACAAAATATGATAGAATAAAGACACTGATAAATTTTACAAGATCAAAAACAGTCACATATTTAAGACGAACAAAATATTTTCTCAACCTAGAGCTATTTAATGGGGTAGGATACGTAACAAAACATATTAAAGAATGCACCTTAATTTAAGTAAAACATAGGAGTTGTTCAAACCTGTCAATGTCAAAAACTACGTAACGTTTCTGTATGAATGCAGTAAATTTTGTGAATATTCCTGTCCTTTAAGTGATGACAGTTTCATGGTTTGTAACAGTCATGGAGAACAAAATTCCAGGATTTTTACAGATGCAAAATATAAATTTTCATGATCACCAACAATAATACACCCATTACAAATACCAAGACAATTTGAAATGAAAAAGACTAAAACTGCACATTCTGAGAAGTTGAGCAGAGACTAACCAATCATTAGAATTGTCTATTCAGATGATACTGGTAAAAAAAAATGTCTTGAACTATTTACAAAAGTCTGGTTGTCTTATAGTATCCAATGAATATTTCTAAGCAAGCTTATCCTTAAAATCACTTCTCAAACTCAGGTTTTTGTGGGTTTTTTTCCATCTTATGTATCATACTCCTGAATGTTAATTCATGTTGAACATTTTGAACTTATTTGTTTGTTTTTTCTTTGAATTCCTCCCTCAGTTTTGGAACTAGCAGAACCAAACTTGGCAGATGATTTGGGACACAAGGGGGGGGGGGGCACTATCTCTATGAAAGAAGAGCTAAAGAGTGTGGTTGCATGTTTTGGGGGTTTTCCTTTTTTAGTGACATCTATTCCACTGATGCCACACCTGTTCAAAATGTCATCTTTGATACATATATCCATAAGTTACTTTTCCAAATCTTCCGTTATAAAATGTACCATGGGTTGATCTGCCTATTAACAATTGTTTAACTTGCTCCTCCACAAAGTAGCTTGACACAAATAGTAGAGCTACAGAATTAACTTTAACAACATCAAATCACTTTGGGTTTGGTTCTTTTTATTCTTTTCTATTAATACATTTGGACAATGTTCGATATCTTTACATCCTTCATCCATCTGTGTAAGTGACAAACTTGAGGGGAAATATATATGATACATTTAATCATCTTTTCTGTGGGCAAGAGTCCTTAAATGGGCAGAATAAGGACACAAAGAAGTCATTCATAGTCCATCCCAACAATGTTGTCACAACATTAACTGAACTGTGTACTTCACATGAGCCAATATTTAATAAGGAGGTGCTATACTGTGCTTCTATGTCTTTTCTCAAAGTGTCAATTAGCTTTAGATTGACACTTGTGACATCCATGAACAGCTCTACTAAGTTCTGAAATCCAATACTTCTCATGTGATAAAATGAATCTCTCCTCTCAGACAGAGACAGTGGCATGGCTCATAAACTTTGAACCAGTACTTTCACACTGCATGTCTTTGTTAAGTGTGTATGTACTGTAGCCAAGGGCCTCTGTGACAAACCAGTACTTTCACACTGCATGACTTTGTTAAGTGTGTATGTACTGTAGCCAAGGGCCTCTGTGACAAACCAGTACTTTCACACTCCATGTCTTTGTCAAGTGTGTATGTACTGTAGCCAAGGGCCTCTGTGACAAACCAGTACTTTCACACTGCATGACTTTGTTAAGTGTGTATGTACTGTAGCCAAAACCAGTACTTTCACACTGCATGTCTTTGTTAAGTGTGTATGTACTGTATCTACAAAAACTTATTTTGCCAACATGATACAGTTTATATTTCTTCACCAGAGGTTGAACCAACTTCGGTATCTGTCTCTTGGACATTTATCATTATATTCTTAGACATTTTATCATCATCCATTCTACTGGCTCCCCTCTTTCTTAACCATTGATTCAATGTTATTGTGCCAGCCGTGTAAAGTAGACCAATCATAAGCAGCACTGAGATCACGTAAGCTGTACAGGTGAGAAGTCTCTGAGCAAGACTGGTTTCAGTTATTAAGTTTTTAATTTTTGGAAGCACACTACATTTACAGTCCAACTATCCTGAACAGTTTGCATCTCCAGGATGACTCTCTGAAAATTATTTTTTAAATTCTTTCATATTTTTAGGGGACATTCCAGCCCATAATGGGAGGAACTGGTGAATAAATATTTACATATACAAGTTATGAAAAAATGTTTATTGTTTAATGGTCTAAAGAATTCTGTGAGAATAAAGAATAAAATATAAAGTTGTACTGAAAACAAAACATTTGAAATGTAATTAGGAGGTTCTAGGGATTACACAAAGGAAATTTGAAATCTTTGAGATGAAGAAAAGTATTTTTAATCTTAACATGAAAATTACTTTGCACACAGACTATTCAAAACAAATACTCAATAAACTGATGGACAAATATATATTTTAGATTATTAAAAATACTTCACTAAAAAATATAATATTTTTGTATGTGAAAGACTTATAATGTTAACTGAAAGACTGCCAAATTTTGTGAAGATATACACACTATATTGAAAGTTAGAAGTATTAAATCTATAAAAACTTTAAATGAGTACAAAGAGGTCACGTGGTTGGTCAAATTGACCGAGCCCATGCTGAAAGAGTTCATGCTCCAAACAATTCTGTGAGAATACAGAGTTGCTTTTAACATGAGCAATTCCTACTTTAAGAAATATCGGTAACAGGTTATTTTCCAGCAATTCTTATTTGTTTAAAATAAAATTTCTGTTTAAATTTCTACATGTTCATGCTTAAAAAGATGTCAATAAACAGCACCTTTTAATGTTCCTTCTGCATGTGTTCCATGATCTTTTGCATCTTCTACAACGTCATTCTGAGATTTAACTTTTGACACTAACTGACCATAGTAGAGAGCCAAACACAGTTGTACAAGCCGGCTAAACATTGGCAGTTGCTGGTCCGTGATGGAAAAGTCCAGACGTTCACAGAAAAGGTGCATGCGAGTAACAGCAGGTGTACTGGTGTGTGGATTATCAAAAGCGGTGTAGAGTCGACATACAAGAGAGCAACGGTATAACAGAGGATCTTGATATGTTTCAATCTTTCCACTGGCGTCTCTCTAATCCAAAGAAACATGATTGTTATATTTATGTTGTATTTAGTGCTTAAAACATAATTATTGTCTAATTATACGTCCAACTGACACAGAACTAGTTACGAGTTGAAGTTACTGAGACTTAACACCAGCTGTACCCATTCTTACCATACTTAACAATAACTGACACCACTATTATTATATTTAACACCAGCTGAGCCAACTCTTACTATATTTAACACCAGCTGAGCCCACTCTTACTATATTTAACACCAGCTGAGCCAACTCTTACTATATTTAACACCAGCTGAGCCAACTCTTACTATATTTAACACCAGCTGAGCCAACTCTTACTATATTTAACA